ATATATAAAAAGTTTCAAAAGCCTGGTCCAAACACTGCCCAGTTTGATGTTTGTTTAGCTGATTTCTTTGCCTCATGGCAACTGAAGCAGCTTAAGTTGGAGTAAGAGATTTTAGAAGTATTGACAGTTGTCTTTATGAATTATACTCAAAGTCGTCACATATTTTACTGCCTTGCTGCCATTGATCTCCAATAATTGAATGAAACAAAGGAATACCCCCACCAATGTATCATGAGTGGAATAGTAATAGGTATCCCAAACTACCCTAGTTTACAGTGTGAAAATGTGTCAAAATAATGAAATTATCTTTAATTTCAACTGCTGATATCTTGTTTATTTTCAAGGCTATTTTGATAAAATTGGTATGTAAATAAAAATTCACTTTATATACAATTCTTTCAAGTGTGAGGATCAGTTTTTATCCTACATTTCTTTAAATTATGCCACTATTTCAATGAATGCTGCTTGTTTTTCTGCATTTTCAAAGTTGATAATTTCATAGTGGTTTCTCTTTATTTCATCAAAATAGTCACATCTTAAAGAAAAAAAAAAGATGCTTAATTTGGTGGTTTAAGATAGAAATATTTTGTGAAAAGCAACTTCAAACTAAGTTGAAAACTTTAGTGGATAAAATAGCATAGAAATTCAATGATTAAAAGAAATGAAAACACATTTTTATAGAGCAATGTATATTATTTAATAATTAGTTGGTTTCATATCTTTGTGCTGATACAATTCAGTGCATGTGAATCAAAAAGAATGTATATTATGTTCATTTTGTGAAAAACAATGGAGTTCAAGGCATCAAAATTTGTACTGCTCAGTGAATGAACATCACCTCATTTTAAATCAGACTTATTTCATTGGATATTATATTATATAGTTTAAATCTTCTATTTTCTTTAATGATGCATTTTAAAACTAAGTATTTATCAATGTATTTTTGTCAAAACTGTCATGCTCAAATCACTTTCACCTTTGTCTCTTGTTTTTATGCATTTCCTTAGGAAAAACACACACACAACACAAACTCACAAAACAAAACAGGTCATGTTTTATAAAAAAAATAAAAACTGAACTGGATATGTTTAAGCTTAAATGTGGTGCATGGGTTCATAAAAAAATTGAAATCTAATTAGGTAATTTTCAAAATGTAATCAGTTCCCCACCTTCTTTTTAAATGATTATTTGTTTACCGATTCTAATGATTAGGTCCTATTTTGGACGTTAAAATGAAATTGTTACATTTTTTACTTCAACTTTTACAAACAAGCATGGTATTTTCATACCTCCTGCCAAGTTGTTATCATAACAGCATTATGGAAGATAATAAGTATAACATCTATTTTAAGCCAGTATCTGTTCTAGTTTTCTCTTTTTATGTATTACTGATTTCCACAACAGAGATCCCTACAAGGATGATTAATAAAATTTACCTTAAATCTTCTCTTCAGTGAATGATGAACTCCATGCCCTGAAAAGTAGTGTTCTCCTAAGTGAGAGAAGCAAGCTGAAGATGACCCCCAATTGCTTGCAATGTATGCAAAGGCTGCTGATAAAGTTAAAAACATGTGACGAAGGGAATAGACACTTTACTGATATAAATTTAATGGAACTTAATCTCCATCTCTAAAGGAACAAAGGAAGAATGAAAAGGAACTCAGTTAATCTGAGCAGTCAAACAAATCTAGCTTTTGTGATGAAGAAGCAGCACTTCAGATGACTTTCATTTATGAGGGCCAAGGTCAATGGGTTGCAGTATAATGTTACTCCAACTTTTACATTGACCTAGTCACTGATATTACATTTCCATCCAGCAATCAAAATTTTAGCTCCAACTAAAGGCAGAAATGATTTTTTTATGGCCTTTGTTAGAATTGCACAAGCAGTGTCAATATTTATTTTTTAGATGGCAGTTTTATATAATACCACTTTCAAGAGAGGATAGGATACACAAGTGTTCCAGGATGATTAGCTACATCAGAGGCTTATAAAAAAATTCAGACTGCAAATCATCAGGAGAGGAAATGCAGAAGGACCATTCCAGCTGTCCAGAAAGTCTTATCAATTCCAATAAAAATTTTACAATAAGCATTAGACCAATAATTCATTTCATGAAACGAATTTCAATGTTTTGTAGTCATTACTATGCCTTTTTTGACAAGGGAAAAATTGCATAATTTCACAAGTTTTCCAAAATTATGTATATGAGAGAGAATGTATTCATATTGCAGAGAAAATAATTGTTTTATTGAATTCCTCATCCTCCAATTAGTAAAAGTGTGAAATTCCAGGCATATACCTCCAATGGATACTGTTTTATAGCAGTTTTTAGATGGTATACATTAAAAGCATAACACGTTTTTGCCCTATTGTCAAATTGTGCTTCTGGGTGGTTTTATGTGGTTTAAATATGAGTTTTTATTGATGCACTAACGAAAAAAAAAAAAAGCTTTATTTCTGCTGTGCTATGAATCACAGCAAGAAGTTGCAAGACATTAAGCGTTGAAACGAAACTTATATGAACAGTCAAACGTATATTTCTGTGTTATGTATTAACTATTTCGTTTTTGAAAATATCATTTTCCCCAATGTTTAGGATGATCTAA